GGGAAGAAGAACAAACTGGGGAGGAGAGTAGAGAGAATGGTGCAGCAATGAAGGAATGAAAACCCAAAATCCCTGTAAATGTTCATTAAAACTAACAAAATTTAATAATAAAAAAAAAATGATCCAATGCAGGAATCCAGAGGTCCTTTAATTGCTATTTACTTAGAGAAAGGGGTCCATCAGGGATGTATTCTGTCTCCATACCTTTTCAATCTGTATGCAGAACAGATCATCCGAGATCTGGGCTGTACAAGGAGGAATGTGGCATCAGGATTGGTGGAAGACTCATCAACAACCTGCGTTATACAGATGACACAACCCTGCTTGCTGAAACTGAGGAGGCCCGGAAGCTCTTGCTGCAGAAGGTCAAGGACTGCAGTCTTCAATATGGATTGAAGCTCAACATCAAGAAAACAAAGGTTCTCACTACTGGGTCAATTGGCAGCATCAGTATGGATGGTGAAGAGATTGAGATAGTTAACAGTTTTAGTTACTTGGTTCCACAGTCAACACTCTTGGTAACAGCAGCCAGGAAATCAAGAGATGAATTGCATTGGGAAAATCAGCTGCGAGGGACCTTTCAAGAGTACTGAAGAGCAATGACGTCAGGCTGGAGACTAAGCTGCGCCTGATCCAGGCTATAGTCTTCGCAATTACGTGCTATGCATCGGAAGAGTTGGACAGTGAATAAGGATGATAGAAAGAGAATTGGTGCCTTTGGGCTGTGATGCTGGAGAAGAGTGTTGAATATACCATGGACTGCTAGAACAAACAGGTTTGTCCTGGAGAGGGTGAAGCCGGGATGCTCCTTGGAGTCAAGGATTCTGAAGCTTCGTCTGACATACTTTGGGCATGTTGCAAGGAGGGACTGGTCCTTGGAGAGGGACGTCATGTTTGTCAGAGTGGAGGGGCAGCGCAGGAGAGGATGACCATCGATGAGATGGATTGATTCTGTGATTGGGATGCTGGGAATGAGTGCATTTGAGATGGCGTTTAGGGCTCTTGTACATAGGGTCGCTATGAGTCTCAGGCGACTCAGTGGCACATAATAACAACAAACAAACAATCCGGAGAGTGGTTTTTTTCAGATGTAAGTAGAGTTTATTATTCCAACCTTTCTTCACATTTATATTTTAAATACAGTAAAAATGATGCTGTAAATCAAGAATAACTTTCCCAGGTCAAACAACAGCATAAACAGTACTCTTCCTCTTGTAGGACAAGTGGACTTAGACCTTCTGCGATGCCAACAGCTGAAGCTGTACATACTGAAAGCTGGGCGTGCACTGCTTTCCCACCAAGATAAATTGCGGCAAATTTTATCCCAGCCAGCTGTTCAAGAGATGGGAACTGTTCAGACAGGTTTGTGGGTTTTGGTGTTGTGGATTTTTTATTTTAAATAAATCTTTAAAAATGTATAATAAGGCAAGCTCTGGTGGCCTAGTGGCAAGAAGCTGCCCTGCAATCACACAGTTTGAATCCACCAGATGCTCTGCTAGAGAAGGAGGGACAATCTCTTCCTCTACCTGTCAGATCTGATTTGATGTTAACACATACACACACAAA